GGGGATTGGGGGGGGACTGGAGGGGGTTAGGGGACACTGGGAGGGGATTTGGGGACACTGGGAGGGACTGGGGGTGTTTTGGGGGGTCCTGGCTGACCCCAAATCCCCCCAGGGAGCCCCTTCTGGGTGAAGGTGCTGGGTCTGGGGGAGCCTCATTTGGGGGATTTGGGAGGGCTCTGAACTCAGGGGAATTTGGGGATTTCTGGGAGGGACTGGGGGTGTTTTGGGGGGTCCTGGCTGACCCCAAATCCCCCCAGGGAGCCCCTTCTGGGTGAAGGTGCTGGGTCTGGGGGAGCCTCATTTGGGGGATTTGGGAGGGCTCTGAACTCAGGGGAATTTGGGGATTTTTAGGGGGGTCCTGGGGGAATTTGGGGGATCCTGGGGGTCCCGGCTGACCCCAGACCCCCCCCAGGGAGCCCCTTCTCGGTGAAGGTGCCAGCTCAGGGGAGCCTCATTTAGGGGATTTTGGGGATTTTGGGGTCTGGGGGGCTCTGGGACTGGGGGTGTTTTGGGGGGTCCTGGCTGACCCCAAATCCCCCCAGGGAGCCCCTTCTGGGTGAAGGTGCTGGGTCTGGGGGAGCCTCATTTGGGGGATTTGGGAGGGCTCTGAACTCAGGGGAATTTGGGGATTTTTAGGGGGGTCCTGGGGGAATTTGGGGGGTCCTGGGGGTCCCGGCTGACCCCAGACCCCCCCCCAGGGAGCCCCTTCTCGGTGAAGGTGACGGGTGAGGGCCAGGCCTGGGGGTGCCTCCCCTGGCAGATTTGGGGTCTGGGGGGCTCTGTGGATTCCAGGGGGATTTGGGGGGTCCTGGGGGAATTTGGGGAGGCTCTGGGGGTCCCGGCTGACCCCGGACCCCCCCCCCAGGGAGCCCCTTCTCGGTGAAGGTGACGGGCGAGGGCCGCGTGCGCGAGAGCATCACCCGGCGGCGCCGCGCCCCCCCCGAGGCCAGCGTGGGGGCTGGAGCGCGCCGAGGCCGGGACCCCCGGTGAGCACCCCGAAAAACAGGGGGGACACTGAAAATGGGGTGGGAGACCCCAAAAATGGGATGGGAGACCCCAAAAATGGGATGGGGGAACTGAAAATGGGGAGGGGGGCCCCGAAAATGGGATAGGGGACATTGAAAATGGGCACAGCCCAGGTCTCGGGCCCCTCGGGGACCCCGGTGGCGGCGCAGGTGCTGCCCGGCGCGGGGGGCACGGTGGGCGTGCGCTTCGTGCCGCAGGAGACCGGGGCGCACCGGGTCAGCGTCAAGGACCGCGGGCAGCACGTGCCCGGGAGCCCCTTCCAGTTCACCGTGGGACCCCTGGGCGAGGGCGGCGCACACAAGGTCCGGGCCGGGGGGCCGGGGCTGGAGCGCGCCGAGGCCGGGACCCCCGGTGAGCACCCCGAAAAACAGGGGGGACACTGAAAATGGGGTGGGAGACCCCAAAAATGGGGTAGGGGACATTGAAAATGGGATGGGGGAACTGAAAATGGGGTGGGGGGCACACAAGGTCCGGGCCAGGGGGCCAGGGCTGGAGAGGGCCGAGGCCGGGACCCCCGGTGAGCACCCCAGAATGGGATATGGGGGACCCCAAAATGGGGTGGGGGGCCCCGAAAATGGGATGGGGGACCCCAAAAATGGGGTGGGGGGTACACAGGGTCCGGGCACACGGGGGCCGGGGCTGGAGCGGGCCGAGGCCGGGACCCCCGGTGAGCACCCCAGAATGGGATGGGGGAACTGAAAATGGGGTGGGGGGCCCCGAAAATGGGGTGGAAGACCCCAAAAATGGGATAGGGGACACTGAAAATGGAATGGGAGACCCCAAAAATGGGGTGGGGGACCCCAGAAATGGGGCAGGAACCCTGAAGAATGGAGTGGGAACCCCAAAGATGGAGTGGGAACTGCAGAAATGGGGGTCAGGGGGATGTTTGGGCTCGGGGCAGTTTTTGGGGTGCCCTGACCCCCTGTTCCCCCTCCCCAGCCGAGTTCAGCATCCAGACCCCAAGTGGCAGGAGTCTCTGTGTCCTTTGTAGGGGAATTTATGGGGTTTTTCCAGAATTTATGGGGTTTTTCCAGTACAAGCAGAGTTTTTGGGGTGTTCTTTGGGTTTTTTTGGGGTTTTTGGGGTTCCCTGACCCCCCGTTCCCCCTCCCCAGCCGAGTTCAGCATCTGGACGCGCGAGGCGGGGGCCGGGGGTCTCTCCATCGCCGTCGAGGGTCCCAGCAAGGCCGAGATCGCCTTCGAGGACCACAAGGACGGATCCTGCGGGGTCTCCTACGTGGTGCAGGAGCCCGGTCAGTGCTGGGCTTCTGGGGGTTTTGTGGGGTTTTTGGGGTTTTTGTGGGGGTTTTTGGGGTTTTTGTGGGGGTTTTTGGGGTCCCAGCCCCTCCCCTAATCCCAAACCCTCCCAGG